GGCAGAATTTTCGACCGAAGAATTCCCTACGAGTATAGCTTTGAGCACGAATATTGTGCTTGTTCAGCGCGAAAACTTTTGCTGTCTACGCCGCTAAGAGTGCAAAGTGGACAACTTTCCACGAATTTCAGATATTGACGTTGAAACTGTTTATAAGCCGCTGGAGATTCAGGTAGCAAGATGTCTGCTTGAGTTATTGGAGTTGCCGTGGAAGCAAGGGATTTGTTCTTGTTCACGGCGCGCTCGAATGAGTTGTAGGGGATGGATCTTGTTTTGCTAATTCGAGCGAATTATGAGCAACACAACTCGTACGGTAAGGCTGCGGCGTCCAGACCACGCCCACGACGGCGGCGACTAAGATATAATCGCCACACACCCCTCGCCCGCTGCCCCAACTTTCGTTTATAAAGAGTCCCTTGTGGTGTGTTTGCCCGCTACTAGCTCTTTTCATTCCGAATGAGTAAGATGTTAAAGGAAAAGAACTGTTACCAAAAAGTGAGCTATCGTCCAAGCACCCCCCACCTCTTCGCCCTGCACTCGCGCAAGCAGGTATCGGCAGGGGATCCATTTAGGGTCGTTCTTATGTTTTCCTTTTTTCACTATTGAGTTAAACTAGTAATCGAGCCCGCTACACACTATTTTTGGGACGTGCTCTCAAAGGCAGTGTTGATGTGAACGACCTAGTAGTCAACATTTGCCCGCACATCAGGGCTAGATGAGTATACCGTCTATGACAGTGTTCCCAAAACAGGACTACTTTCCATCGGTTTAACTCTAATTAGACATGTTGATATTCTCATGCATAATTGGCAAAGTGTTATCAATCCCGTATTGTTTCTGAGGTGTGCTGGGCCCTATACTTTGTTTTTCATCAGAAGGTTGGTCCATCAAAATAGTTTCACTTTTTCAGGCATGGTCATTGACGGAGCGGGGAGAAGTCCGTTCTGATGATCTGTGTCTTTCCTCTAGTGGGCTCGATAATCTCGTTCGATTAGAGCGGTGTAACGTCGCATCTCCGAGTCCTAAACACCTCTTCAAGTATGACAACGAGGTTTGTGTGCATTCATAATGATTAATTTAAATGTTGAGAAGTTTTTGAGCACTTTTTGAGCACATCGTTCAATGGAATTTTTACAGAACAAGCATCTCATCCACATGAAAACCCGGTACTGCGTGACAGCTTCAGATGGTAAAGAGGTGGTAGTTAGGCCATGCAATTTCTCTCCGGACCAGAATTGGGCCGTAGAAGGCTATGTGCAGTAAAGTTAAGTTTCTATGGGAGTCTCGTCGTTCTTGTTCTGATTGTTGGCGGTAGGGTATCTCGAATTATACGATCAGTATTTACGATATTGAAGGTTGCGCTTTGTCTTTCTAGGGAAGCACGAACTCGAATATATTAGGTCATCTCAGTCAAACTTGTGGGGACATATAGAGGAATGGCAGGAAAGCAAAAGGGCTAGGATCGTAAGCCTTGAAAACTGGCACATTTAATGACCGCTAACCTAGCCATGGAAGATAATCTCGAGAAATTGAAGAGAAACCCAAGTGGTGAAATTCAGCGCCGGATTATGGAACCAGGCGTCATAGAAGGGGAGGGCGTGCTCAAATTTATCCTATGCCGGACAAATTGCTGCGTATGCGTTCTTGGGACGGAAAGTTGAAGACTTGGTCCAGAAGATCAAAGAAAGAAGAACGAAGCGAAATTTCGGCTGAAGAGGTGCTTCATCCTGCACAAGCAAAGCAGGGTGGATGAAGTCAAGCGTCGAAAGTCCGATCGCAGAGGCTGGACCACAATCGAGCTAAACCGCGAGAATGAGAGCCCTGCTGCATGCTGCAACCGTTAGCCGAATACGCCCTTAAACCGAGGATGGTCAAGCGGATATTTTTGGGTGACTCATTTCCCTACAGGATAATAGATGCAGAACCTTGTCTATGCCTGCGGGAGCAACTTTCTTCACCTGAGACGTCATTCAAGGCTATGAAAACGCACCTCTGCCAGCGATGAAATCTGGTCGCGTACTCCGAACTGAGACTCACAAACATCGGCTTTTTCAGTGAGTGCAGGTGAGAAACCGGCCGAGTTCTGTCACGAGGAGTTATTTGGGCCAAAGGGGATAGCCTAGTGGCAATCGGCTTCTGTACTGTAGCTTTCAAGCGGTTCTATCCAAAGTCGGTGTGTTCCCACATCCGTGCCATTTCACGTTTCGTTGATAGGAGCACTCTTGAGACGCTGCGGCGATCTGCCCACATAGGCGGAGTCAGCTTATCGTTGCTGAGCTGTCGTGCTTTTATCAAGCGCTTTTGAGCCGCGAAAAAGGGATATCGCTGTGACAGCAAGCTCCGCCATCTTGTACCCTATAGGATTTCTGCACCTTGGTTGACCGCATACGCTGTCTTTAATCCAATACCAGAACAGTACCTACTTACCTTTTTCTTCTTTTTTTGTTCGAGTCGGTCCTTTCACGTTTTTGAATGAGATGACCAAATATTTTGACTTTAACTATACTTGACTGAGTATATGTTTACTTAGTTGTTGTTGTGTTCTCGTTTTTCTTCTGGTCACTATTCGCGTGTAGCTTATCCATTTTGTGTGCCTTTTGGATAGTCGGAAAGTAATAAGCTAATCACATAGTAATAATAATCAGATGTGTGCATTATATCGTTACTTCTCTATGGTTGTGAACTTTTTGTGATATATTAGGGTTGTATATTCATTCATGGGTATTGCTGGATTTGTTCAAATGAAGATGTTCTCATATTCGTAATGACTTCCATCTGCAATGAAATAGTACTTATCGTGGTACTTATCACTTATTTACTGATTATGATTTGTTATGGATGCTTGCTTTACATTTTACTATATTGCAATTTAAACCCAGTATCGCTAACTGTGACGCAGCAAGAATACATACAGTCCTCATCATTGCGGACTGTCGGGGCGGCTGAGCCGCGCTGCACTGTGACGCGACAGCGGCTGCGGCTCGGTGACGGCGAATCAGCTGATTTCCATGGAATTCGGCTGCGAATTCCCACTTTTTCAACTCTTCAAGCTTCGAAAGTGGAAGGTGAGTTATTTTGAACAATTTTAAATTGTACTGGCTCTGAATGAATCTGAAAGAATGCAAGCCATTTGAATAAATGCCTGAAATAAGGCAAAATACAAGGAAAAGAGCATAACAGTAGACATAAAAATAAAGGAAATTAGAGCCAGTACAATTTAAAATTGTTCAGAATAACTCACCTTCCACTTTCGAAGCTTGAAGAGCTGAAAAAGTGGGAATTCGCAGTCCGAATTCCATAATCGGCTGATTTCGCCGGCACCGAGCCGCAGCCGCTGTCGCGTCACAGTGCAGCGCGGCTCAGCCGCCCCGACAGTCCGCAATGATGAGGACTTTAACCATACACTTCATACCGCAAATTGGGGAGGGGGGTGACCGTGTCTCCACTTGACGTGGTGGTAAATGCTCTCGGTGTGAGTTTTGTCTTCTATTTTGGCACAATTGTACAGTCTGGTTCGCTGCGGGTGATGGGGCGTGTCCGTGCAGTGCATTTGGCACGCCGCCAAATTCATTCTTTACGAGCTGTTTGAGCGGGTAAGTACAACAACTAGTAAGAGGCGACCGATGCGAATTACATGATGCAGTCCTGTCGCTTGGGTCAGAGAAAAAAGGTTAAAAAAAACAGGCGTCACGTGAAACGCACCCGTGCGGACACGGTCCATCATTCGATGCGACCCAGATAATCGTGCCATTCTCCAGCGGAAGACAGAATGACAGTTGCCTCCAATGGAAAATATCCATGAAGAACGTGTCCCGTGCAGTGTTCAAATGAAGTACGGTACAGTTACTCTCTACTTCGGGAGACGGGCAAGAGAATTGTGATTTCCGGCTCTGTCGCGGCGATTGGTGCGGTGTTTTCTCAATTCGTGTTAACCTGTCGATTGGAGCGGACTTCATGAAGACCCCGTATCGTGGACATTCATGATTATATTTGGTTCTGAATTGCCTGCTGTCGCCATCTGCGACCTGGAACCATCGTCATTTGTAGGGCGCGACGTCGCACGCGACGCTCATCAGCGCGGCGAATTACGATTCTCTTGTCACATACCCGCTGAGTGTGAAATGACGTTTGTGTTGGTTACTCTGTGACAGTACGCTCAATTTTGTTTCCAACTGAGCTTGCGTTTCGGTAATTAGTGGTATTGTTTCAATAACATTGAAGGAAAAGGCAAAGATTTCTTGATTGAAGGACCGTCATATGGCTGCGCAGCGGCGTCCGCTGCTTTCCTTGACTGGGAAAGCACTGACTGGCCTGCAGAAGCGCACTAGTTTCATTCATAAGTGGAGCAATTTCAAACGATGGCAAGAACTGGACAAAGCAAGGGTACGTTGTCTTAGCACAATGAAATTGCTTATCTTTGATGTCCATCTTGTGCATGCATGTCACGCAGTCTCGGAATGAGAGCTAAAACGAGCAGAAATGGCGTGGCATAGCCTCGCCTGAGAGTGGCACCTTCCCCAAGACACATGGCACCCTAAGTTTTACTGCTCAGAAGATAAGGGGATCTCATAATAGCAGGGATGAAGGGGTAGGGGGCAATTTAGCTGGAGCTTTCCAAAAAGTGCTAACCAAAGACCTCTATCTCAGAATATACCTAAATCGTTCCACAAAGGCCAGTAGTGCTAAAAGAGTAGCTGTGAAAGAAGGCTGCTGATTCTGGTGGTTAGGCTGCGTTGCGCTTTGCACTAAAGCGGGTCGTCGCGAAGTTTGAACGTAGCTTTAGCAGCTGCACTGGAAACTACCAGAGAAATTATGGGATTTTCGATAAAGCGGTTTTTATTCTAAGTCCGTATAGCATAGCATCTCTTACGTTCATTAACTGACGTTTGGGCGGGATTGGGATTTCGCTGCTGTTTTCCCATCAACATTTGGTGAACACCGCTTGACATTTTCTTTGGGGATCGGTAGGAGAGGGATCGTGCAGGAGATGAACTTCCCAATCGCCATGGGGTGCCCTAGCTTATCTTGGAGATGGACCTGAGAGCCACATATGTACACGACCATATGCTGTTGATGATTACTATTTATAGGATGAATATATACGTGAACGTCAGGCAATAGAAAATTTCATCAGGCTACCAGGCGGAATGTATATATCTCCCGAGCGTCCTGAACATGGTTCGTATTTATTATCTCATGTGTCAACTTGCGGATTTATGGTCGGTATCGTCGCAGTCAGTTCGGGCGGTGCGTGGAGTGGGAGTGGGAGGGGGGGGGGGGAGCTAGGGAGGAGTACAATGTGATCGCCCCTGGCTGTGCCTATCTTCCACTCCGTGGTCGCTTTGATTATAAAACAAGCACTGGTGAAAATGCCGTAGCGGTCGCTGTCATTCCATGCTCCGAGGCTCCTGACACCGCCCCGACTGATAAGGACGGCATCAGCTGTAGCTTCTCCCTAGAAAACTGGCTCCATGTTTCAAGTATCCGGGTTCACATTCAAGGAATATCCCCTGTAGAGAACAAGGATCCATCTTGGAACAACAGAGAACGGGAGAACAGTACTCAGAAAATCTGTTTCGCCTAATGGGGAACTTGGAGAGGCCGAGCAAGGGCCCGGATGGGTAGTGGATGGGATGAGATATACAGAGCCCACATTACCTAAGCCAAGCTCCCCCACACTGAAAGGAGCATGCACTGCTCCAGACGAAAATTACGTTCGATTCCGGAGCAGCCCAGAAGCGGAGAAAAGTGGGCTACGGTCAGTGTGAGTTAGGCGGACGGACTGTGGAAGACACACCTGGAATGGGCGGGTCATACTCGAGATGGGCGGTGCTTGCCGCGAATTTCCACGATTCGTCCCGAAAAGTTTTGAAGGCCGGAGAGAATTCGGTGGAGAAGAGGTGCGTATGGTGACGGATGAGCGCGTCTGTGGCGTGTGAGGAGCCGCCCTTAACGGGCGGAGCGTGCTCACAAGCATGAGGTGCTTATTTCAGAAAAAACCATTACCTATGAATATCAACAAATTTGACTTAGAGTCTTATTGGTAGGCAGTTTTATTAAATGTAAAGGTTTTTCTCGGATATTCTTTAGGAGTAATTTCAGTGATGCCCAAAAAGGATCTAGCTGATATGACGCGGAAAGACACCGGAGCTGTTTCAATGGAGCTCCATACGGCTCATACCCAGATGAGATATGTTGACCACAGTTTCGACAATATTCGGCGCTTCAAGCGCTATAGGCATTTTCAACATCTGCAGTATGATCAGAGGTGAAGTGCTTTTCTATTGCTGGCAATTTCGCTGCGGGCGCGTGAGTGCATCAGTGAAAGAAGAGCTAGGTTTGGTGCGGTGCCAACCGATTTTCCGCCAGTTGTGCTCACCTGTCAGCCTCCACAAATGAGGAGAAGGGGCTGGCACCGCGCCAAATCCACCCTCAGTGGCTCAACTTAGCATCCGCAGCGAACAAGACTACATGGTTTCACGCTGCATTCTAAATCAATAGCATTTTCAGAATGATTCCCGAGCGGCTGTTGTTCCTTGGCCCTGACCTGGCTGCCGCGCATTTTCTAGGTTCATAGGGGAGCTTCCGTGAAATTCATTGGCGATGATGCCTGGTACAAAAAGGATAAATATGGAGTTAGTTTGATAATGACTTCAACAATTTTTGTCTTCCTCTTTCTACAAAAACCCATTTCAGAAATATAGTTTACCAGGGACTAAGGTTCCAGGACTTTATTTGGAAGCAATAGATGCATCAGGAACAGAGCTCATGTTTGAAGGTGAGAACGAATGAGAATGGCTAGACTGCGTTCATACTTTGCGGCAGCGTTCACCAGCGACTACCAGCGCTCCGAGCGTCCGGCAGCGCCTTGACTCTGAAAAACACTCTGCCAGCGTCTGCCAGCGTCTGGCTGTTTCCACCAACAACCAGCAGCTCTCGATGGCTAGGAAAGTGTAGGTATCGACCTAGCATCTGTCAGCGTCTACCAGCGACTAGGAGTGGAGGGTATGGGGCGATAGGAGAGTAGCAGACAGCTGGCAGAGTGTGGGGAGGTAGGAGGGTAACGGACTGCTTCTTCCCCTGTACACTGATAGACGCTGGCAGACGCTAGATCGAAACCTATACTTCCCTAGCGCTCGAGACACTGCTGGTCGCTGGTGGACTCTGGCAGCCGCTGGTAGATGCTGACAGGCGTGGCAGATGCTAGATCGATACTTATACTTTCCTAGTAGCTGACGCTGTCTGACGCTCGGAAACTAGTCGCCAGTGGACGCTGTCGCAAAGTCTGAACGCAGCCCTAAGTTTTCAGCGATCAAACGTCTGTTGTTTTAGGTTTCGACAACTTACAAAACTTGAGCCACCTCAGAATGCTCAGGCTAGCAGACTGTCCATATGTTGATGATTGGACATTATCCAGAATAGGAGGAATGATGGAAGGCTTAGAAATGCTTGATTTGAGTGGATGTCATCGAGTCTCTGCCAAAGGTTAGAGTCAGGTTCAGAGTTTTTTTATTTATATTTCTTATAAATATAAATTTGCTTGGTTCATTTTTATTACAGGTCTTATGGGACTGAAGATGTTGAAATCATTAAAATATCTCAGAATTGAAGGCATTGACAGTAAGGTGAGTGTGGTGCTTTGCTCTTCTATTTGGTTGGTAAATTTTTTAGTCGTACACTCGTAGGTGAAGAAAGGATCTAATGAATCTAGGTGGGAGAGTGGAAGCGGCATAGTCGCCGTTAGCGCTGCTACCGGCAATGTTCGGAGTTCGCGATTACCCGCATCGACGCGCGTGAGCGTATAGACGCAAACGCAGTCGCATACGGAAATCGATCGGCGCGTGCCGCCCGTGTATTGAAAGAGCATGAGCAACGAGAGGGTAGGCGCTGCCCTCACTCAGTCTGGATCTCTCCCACTTTTCTGTGCTTTCCCGAAGCCCTAGCGGACAGTGCCGATCGATACGCGTGATTAGGCAACGCGTACCTTGTGTTCCTCCATACTCCCTCAGTAAACAGCTAGCGCCGATCGACTCCCGTATGCGACTGCGTTTGCGCTTACAGGATTGGAGCGCTGTTGCAATTGTAGCGCGTGGACGCGCTCCATCGCGAAGTCTGAACGCTTTTTTCTTATTCACGCGCACAGTTTAGGGCCAACTCGAGTAGTCTTCGTAGCCCGTATCAACCGAACCTTGCATCCCTTCACGGTCTTATTATTTAAGACAGTATTTTCTGGGGGAAGAAGCACCGGTATGGATATCGCTTACCTCTCGACGGAGTCAGTCGTTTGAGCCAGATCACATAATAAGAACCATCCCTATTGAATTTGCAATGTGTTAAGGTATTCTAAAAGGAGTGATGATCAGCGCCGGGAAGCTTCATCCTGTATCGTTTTTATCTCTGGCAGTTTGGGTGGGTGTCCTATACCAATGAATGTATTCGCACGTGTAACGATTTATTACGACGTATTCGTACTGAACCGTATGACCGACCGACCTAAATACAGTAAAAAGTAGCTATAATAAATAATAAATAAAATTAAATAAATAAATAAATAAATAAAGTACTACGAAGTGGCGGTTGTCACCAACTGTACGATGGCTGTACTTGAAAGTAAAGATAAGAAAGGTGGACCACGCGCGACCAACGGCGAAACATAGAAGAGTACTACTCGATACACTTCATGAACGCTAGCGTCATGTCCTGGTCGGTACAGACTGTCAAGGCGTGCTAATCTTGGGAGTGCCTATGGTTGAGCGAGTTCGAACTACGATGCTGGTTATCATCTCAGTATAAGTAGTTATAATACACCAGTCTGGCTGACGCGCACTACTGCGCGCATGGTTAAACCCATGGTACTATGATAACTGACAGGATTTCTGTCCTGAAAACTAACACTTAGCCTAATGCCTGTGTTTCCGAAGACGATCCATTTCATTCATGTTTTCTCCATTTTAAGTGAAACATTTGCAATGTGTTTGTGTGCCTAATCATATTTCTAAAGCACCATTCGTTGGAGATAGGACAGCATAGCGGTGGGAAAGAATTTCGATGATAAAAAAGTCGAAATCATAGTGGCTCTTATCATTCCTCACTGGCCAACAATTCCCTTTCCGGTGAAACTCGAGCGTTTAGCGAGCAACATTCCACCGCCTAAACTGAGGCGGTCATTGGCTAGGAATACGAAATTTCGGCATTGATGAAATTGTATGCTGAGCATTATACGAGTCCCGAAAGCCGTTGTCGCGACACTGACAAAATTTACTCCCACCTTTAAATATTTCCTTTAAGCAAACCTGTGAATTACTGCTGGAAACAGTTCCACACAGTGTTGCCAACAACTCGGGGTATCTTATCAGCTCGTATCATATCCTGCCCACAACCAAATCATACCCCATCCTGCAGCACTGTTTGCCTCATTGACAGTCCCCGTTGTGCTGGTGCGTACGTGTGAATTAGGTTCCCTATCCCTCTAAGCTCCTCGAATTATGAGTATTCTTACAGCTGTTATCATTTTGCCACCGCACATAATGTTCCCATCCTGCCCCCATTATCTTAAACTCCTGTATCCAACGTCCGTCGTTACCTCTGGCCGGTATTATGGATTAGGTAACCCACTCTTTCTGAGGCTCCTTATGGTATCTTATCAGCTGTTATCAATTCCTGCCACCCACCAATAATGTTCCCATCCTGCCCCCTATCTTACTTACTGGAACCAAGGTCTCATCGTTGCTGTGGCCCGCGCTATGAATTTGGTGATCCTCCCTTTATAAGGCTGCTCGCGGTATCTTATCAGTTCTTATCAGTTCCTGCCACCTACCAATAGTGTTCCTGCACGACCCCCTACATGACTTATCAGTTTGAGCGCTCTATCACTCTTTTGAAGGAAGTTATGAATTTCCGGTCAAACAACACATACACACACACCACACACACACACAACAACAGACAAACTTAGGAGGGGCGGATTATTTTAATAGTAGCATACCTAATCCTGAAATTCCACTATAGGCGGCCGTAACAGAATGGAGAGCATATTGTGCGGATTTAGAGAACACTGGCATCAAACTTATGTTGTTTTGTTGGATGAGTTACTACTATGGAATCTTATAAGCTATTTGTAGAATGTGGGCAAAGCCGCGTTACTGCTGGAGGAAACTATACCGAAATTGAAGGTTCTTGGCGTGGATTATGAGCACACGAGTTAGAAGCACTGGAGGCTGACATGAGGCTTCTCGAAAATCCTAACGTCGTCGAAGATGCCAAAGGTGCACCAAAGGCTTTATTTCCCTCGTGCTCTCCATATATTTCAACTCCAAAATAATTTAGGAAATCTTTTTGCTGAAGACGACAATGGACGTCTGTTCTATATTGGAGGAAACGTAAACGAGCGACCAGCTGTTTGTGACAATGACAAACCTATAATGACCAGTACGATACGAAGGTTTGTGACTGTTAATGAACAGCAAAAATATGGATTGTTCGTTTGTTATTCAGAGAGATTCCTAAGATGAGCGACGAAGAATTCGAGAGGATTGACAGGTTGTCTGGCGGTAAACTGCGGCATCTACTTGTCGGATCCCCGAGTGGTTATGAATGGAATTCACAGGTGCGGCCTTTCAGGACCTTTCCTTCCTGAACTGGAAATTTTTAACGGCTTGTGTGACGCTCTTTGGATTTGTCTGAATAATCACCTCTATTTATCTGAATAATCACCCCTATTCGTCTGAATAATCACCTCTTACTTTGGATTCCCTTTTCGCGAGAAACCAGTAAAAAGGGGTTGATTATGCGCAGAGGGATGGGAGGTCGAAACGATTTGCTTTATAAGCCCTTTCGTGAAATCGCTCACAGTCGTCTTCCATCGCTCGTGGCTTTCCCACCTTTTTGACACCATTTCGACTGTAATAATCAATATTATCAATGTATCACCACGGGGCGTAGGATATAGAGGCAGGTTGCGCCTCCGGTACTCAAATTCCTAAACGGCTCCTGCAGGCCAACCACCCGAATAGGTCTGGAATGGCTGACTCATAATTCTCTAAACTGCATATCCTATAGATAGAAAGGGCGCGGCTGTGTACTTCATTACAATGTGGCGGCGGAATAATTATGCCGTGATGTGAGGTCAAACACATAATTATTATTGCCCCGGAACGGAATCGCCGCTCCGGGGCAGTGATAATTATATTTGACTTTCACAATACTGAATGGCAGCTGTATAAAACGAAAACATCCACTGAAAAATACATCCACCCTATTCAAAGGGAAATGCTGCCTTCCCAGCGTTTCAAGGGTACGGCAGCATCAGCAAGAAGGAAGGTATACGTATCGATCAGCGCCTGCCAGCGTCCACTAGCGTCTACCAGCGTCTGGGAATGGAGAATATGGCGCGATAGGATGGCAGCAGACAGCTGGTGCCTCCTATCGCACCATACTCTCTACCAGCAGTCTGCTGCTGGTGGCTGGTGGACGCTGGTAGAGCTGACAGACGCTAGATCGATACCTATAATTTCTGAGCCCTCGAGGGACGCTCGGAACGCTGGTGGACGCCATTGGTCACTGGTGGTCACCCGCAAGTATGAACGCAGCCTTATCCTTCTATCTTCCTATGTGGAACTTCGTTCATGCTCATGCAACGTCAAGACGAAGACAGGTTTTCAGGTAGAAACTATTCTCCAATTTGAAGCGGATTACAACGAAAAGCGTGGGATACCTGTTGATCCAAAAATGTTGCCAAAAGATAGAAGAAAGGAGGTCTGCGATCCCATTAACCGAGCTTAGCTGCTTTTTTGCCATTGAGATTAGAGCCATTAATTTCAGCTACCAGAGGAGGAAAAACCTCGGTTACTGGAGGAAATGAGGCTGAAGTTCCTTAACGAGTTCGATGAGGAATGGGAGACATTGGAGAAGAAATTGCTGGAAGACGGTCGAGGAATTCAAGAAAAACGAGTAGAGGACGTGACGAAGGAGCGGAAGCATGAGGTCCAAGAAGAACGACAAGAGGAGGAGAAAAAGGAGTTGAAACAGGGTGTTAGATGAAAATGGGACAGTATCTGTAGCGTGATGATCATAGCTGTTCTATAGATGTTTTGTGCTCAAATAAAAACGTTAGAATCTAGTCCACTGGCCTGCTTTCTTACATTCGGAGATCTACATGGGCGCGTCGGTGTCGCAGTCGAAACGACCTTTCGGCAACGCGAATGAATGCGTCACTACGCGCCGTCCTCTGAAAACATTCCCAGTCTCATCTCTTGGCTCCCTCTCAAATCTCCTTCTCACGCTGAATTACTTTGTCAAAAATCCTGTTCGAGGTAATTTTGTGCAGCGAAAGTGATTCAGTCATCTGCTCGGCAATCTCATCCATCATCTCTCCTTAGCAAATAATCGTTCCTCGAGAACGTGTGACACAAAGGTCATCGTAAAGAAATGTCCTTGAGCCTGTTTTTCTCCCGAATGTGCTTTCCTCACGTCGATCAATATTACGCCAGAGCAGTGGTTCTTTAATTATGCTTTGTGTTCATAGGGAACAATCGTTGGCTAATGGGATTGACCGCACCTGGCAACAGGTCGTGCGTGCGTGCAAAAAAGAACGGCCAGTGCAAAAACAATTACGTCTTGTACAAACACGCCGCGTGGGTTCGTCTAGTTGATGCTTCCGCGTTCACACTGCTGAAGTGGAATCACCTTTTCATAGCCTGTGCGGAACTACCAAATTGGCGGATTTACTGCACGATTTGCTCCAGATTTCCTCGAAGAAAAACCTCGCGATTGCATAATGTGAGTAATGGCTTGCAATAACGAACCGATGGTCGCTAAATGGCCCTCCAGGGAAGAAAAAAGGAAAAAAATTCGTGGGCGGAACACGCCCGTAAGGCCCTCCCCCCCCCGGCGGCCTCACTGAACGAGTTCTTCTATGTCCTTGCTCGTTCAAGTGCTTAGCAAAGCGATGTCCTACCGCCTCTGGCCTCAATTCGCCTTCTTCGCCGGGTCATCCAATGCTAGAACCATCTTTCTAACAGGTGAAAAAAAATGACAAAACACTGGGTGAGAACTGAACTGTCGTGATGAAAAGTAGCCCTTGAGTTATGGTGGGCGGGACAACTAAGGAGGCGTCAGAACTGCCACTTATGAGGGAGCCTCTATGCTCCTTCTCTATCCCTGTGGTTCCACGAAAACGAGAGTCTTAAGCCTGGGGGTCAGACTACTTATACAAGGAAGGATGCCTACGAATTGCTGGAGGGCGGGGACTGCCGTTAATTTCGTTGCGTTTAGCCATTTGCTTGCTTCTTTTAGGACCAGGGGCTCAGGACCATTGTGTAAAATACAACGGGATTTGGCTGTATATCCTGTGGTAGACTCCATGTTTGCCTTTCTTGTAACCTGGGTAACGCCAGGCGTAATAAAGTATTCCACCATACAAACCTGTCGGCATATGAGAAGTTATCGATCACATTTTTGACATTAGAGAAGAGAGTAACGTATTTTGCCACATGAGCAAAGTTTGCTAGGGCTGGCTGTTGATTTTCCCTTCAAGTCCAATGAATGTTTACTAATTGCGGGGCGGACCAGAGCTGCTATTTCTGAAAGTCAATCGGAAGGGTATATACCCCGCCGTCGATGGACGAAAGAATTTTGGCGAAATTCTGCAGATGGGACGTGAGAGCAGGTGTCGTATTTGCGAAGCGGTAAACGCACTTTCAAATACGACCCTCATCTTTCACGTCCATCTGCCAGCAGAATGGGGGAAGGGAATGGGAAACACGTCTTTTGTTTTGCACAAATCCCCCCAGTGTGATGGTGTGTGACCTGTATCGGGGAGTTCAAGTTCTCATGGCTGACTTTGATGGGATATTCTTGTATATTCATGGTGAAAATAATGCCGAATGCAGGTACGGAAGTGTATTTAACTGGTTTTGGCGTTTTTGACCCCCTTCTCGTCAAACGCCTCTCATGTTGCGGAAGGCTAGCTGCAAATGTGCTTGAAGGAAGAGTGCTGAACATATAGTGTTGTTCGGTGCGACGGGTTGGGGTGCGGCTGCGTTTGGCGCGGTGCCAAACTCGTTCTCCATCAGTTGTTGAAGCGGGCAAATGACAATACTGTATCATATCCTTCGTATTACTCGTTTTCTACCACTTTTTGTCGCATGCGCGTTTCAGCAAGAAGTATGCATGGTATTAACACGTTTCGGACCGCGTGACACACATGGTGTGTCACGAATTGTTCCCAATGCCGTGTTACCTCGATTATTTGATGTTCCTCTCATGTTTTGCTGTGAAAACACACGTTTTTCGGTTACCGCACCATTATCCTCCATCGAATATTGAAAAGCAGAAAGGAAGATTAATGATCAATTATTGAATGAAAAAATGATTGAAGTGATTGCGGATGTGCGCGAATTACATCCCGCAATGTGTAAACAGTGCAAAAGTGCAAAGTATGGTATTAAGCAGTGCAAAATCTTAATGTTTTCGAATAACCGGGCGTAGATAACGCAGTGGTCATCGGCATCACGCTGTATTTCATGAGTTCGACCTCAGTCGGGTCAACGGGCACTCGGAGTGGCCCTAAAATTCGAGGATTTCTTCGTGACAGGATGTTGTAATGTGATCGACCTTGTGGGGCGCATGACACACACAGAACGATTCACTCACACGATAGTGTCAACCATTTCCTATCGATCGTGTTCGTTTTGTATTCTTTTTCGAATGCACCTTGGGCGGTCGACAAAGGTGACGCATTGTTGGCGATTAACTGGGAACAATTTCATTGTAACGACTCGCCATGGAGTCTGCCCTATCCCAAGCCACTACGTTAGCACTTTAGTCGTCGTCCTATAGCCACTCTTCCATGTGAGTTTTAGATGAAATTCATTCGATTAGAAAGATTTTTGTTTTCCTCGGCGGCTCATTAGTCACCATCGAAAATAGTGGATTCCATGAGCTTTTGCAAGCTGTGGAGCTAGCAGCAGCCTCAACAACTCCTGAAACGGGCAATGACTGCCGAAGGTAGGTGGCGTAGTAGCTGCGATCTCACATCGGCGAATTCTCCAGCCGCTGTATTATATACTCGCTTGAAGACAGTACGCGTGCTTAGGTAATTCGTAAGCGTCCTTCTTCGTGCAGTCTGGCACTCACTCTCTGTGATTTACCACCTCTGCGACTACACAGTGCGCAGCGAACCGTTATAAGTGGCAGCTCTGACGCCTCCCTAGTTACCCCGCCCACCAAGATTTGAAAGCTTCTTTCTATCAGATAGCATTGCACGACGCCAATAAACGATTAGTGAGCCAGATGGCTTTGCTGGCATAAAACGAGTAGGTCTGGCCAACTCGTTTAGTGAGGCTACCAGGGGTCCTTACGGACTTCATGATTTTTTCTTTCCTGGAGAGTAGTTTAACGGCTATAGGTCCGTTACTGAGTGCCGCTATCCACAATAAGCAATGCGGGGTTTGTCTTCAAGCTGCCAGGCTGCCGAAATTCCACAAAAATTCGAACTTGGCAACTTAGAAGGAGACTCTTTGATTGGATGAGTGGATATTCTCAATTCGTGAGAGTCCAGTCACTGTAAATGGGAAAATGAGCCACATATGTGACAAGATACGGCCTGGTATCAGATATCTACCATTCCGTTATTACATTACATGCATGGCGCATCTCAAGAAGGAACTCAATAGGGCACCTACGAAGGAATGGTGCGAGAAAGTTTAGATGTACCTTTTTTATTTCTCCACCCCCTCCGCTGCTCCTGCATGTTCAGCAGATAGTGTTATAATGGACGTGTGGTACATTTGGCTAACGCAATCACCTTCATCACCCTAATTCCTATTCAGAAAAGCTGAGCAGCCGTAGCGCCCAGTTGTACAGGGGGGGGGCAATAAAAAAGTCACTTTTCTTCCTTGACTTTCGACGCGCTTTAAGTTATACTTTACTGAATTCTCATCGGACA